CTGTTCGTGGGCGGCGATAACCTTGAGAATAATATATATATTTTTTTATTATTAAACTGCGCACGTGTGTGAACGGGTTATGCGGAAAAGGAGTAGGTACTACACATCATCATTATCATCATCTATGTGTCTATTACACCATGTGTATTATTATGTACGGACAGGTCTTCAGACTTTCACGATACCGAATTCTTTCGAATAGTCCCAATTAAAAAAAAAAAAAAAACCCTACATATATCTTTTTTATTGTTTAAGTAGCGGAAAAGGGTTTTTTTTTACATTAACATCGTTTAGAATTTTTTTTGCGATTTGGAAAATATTCATTTTTGTTTTATTAGTAGGTAGCGCTGATGATTTTAGTTTATTATTTTGTCTAGTTGTTTATATTAGTCTTGTCAGTGTAAAACAAAAATCAATAAGGAAGTATTAAATTTACAAAATTTTAAACTTTTATCTTTTTGAAATCAATTACGTTTTTAAACTGGTAGTCCTAGTTTTGGACTAAACATTATTCAATGAAGATCCGTCAACTTAATATTTAATTGCATAAATTCAGCGGTAACCTCGCTCCAAAATAGTTTTGCAAAATTGTAAATTATTTGTATCAAAATGAATTGCGGCGGTTTGTATAAAACATTATATATCTGCTAATTAAAAAAAAAACATCTTTTAGGATCAAGTGGGTAAGTGTTTACAAATGGAGCAAATGTTAATGTGATTTTTTCAATCAAATAGTTGACAATTTTTTATTTTAATTCCATGATATTAACTTTGTGTTTTGTTATTATGTAATTGTACATCATGCATCATTAAAAATACATAAAATTAACGACTGGACTGGTCCAAGAATTTACTTACATATTTACTATATTGAGCTCGTTTGGCAGCATTTTGTGATAGAAATTTTACACCTTTCTTACTTCTGTATATTTTAATTAAAAAAAAAAATCTACCGTATATATTAATATAGTAATTATTATCTTTACTCTCCAACTCATCATAGTTGTTCAATATTCGAACAATTATGTACTACAATTATTTGTATTAATAATTATGTATTACGAATTTCTATTGGAAAATATTATTCGAATAAAAAAATGTTTTTATTAGAATAGCAAAATATAACATAAGATAAAATTTGTATACTTAAAAATCGCGAAATTAAAAAATAAAAAATAACATTATTTTAATGAAAACTGTAGTAAAGGAGTTTTCATTCGAATAATGTTGTTTTTAATTTTTACGGTTATGAGTTGGTATATTGTAATTAAGCTATTATGCTGATATTTATATATTATACATAACATATATTAGGCACGTTCAATTATTCGTTATTCTATTTATAGCACTTTTTTTCGAATAAATTTGTATTTATTAATATTTTATAAATTACAAATGCGCTTGTTCGAATTAAATATTGTCAAGTATTTATATTTCATTTAAACGTTGCCCAACTCTGACCGCCGTCTTATTATGATGTATTACATATACTGCTACACATTGCGGTGTAGGAGTTTTTATTTTAAACATATATACATATTTTTTTTTAATGTAGTCTAAAGTGTGCCTATAGTGTCCGTCTGAATGATGAACTCTCGTCATGATGTATGGTAATGATATTATTATTATTACTATTATATTTAGAACATATCATTATTATTGTAATACATACCGTAGGTACGCGCCCAGTCAAGGTCGTTTTTTTTTCTCCTACTATTCTTCGCCAAGGTAATGGGCACGCGAAAAAGACAGACAGCTAACCGAGTCGTTGGTGATTTTTGTTTAAAGCATTTTAAATAACTTTGTACATAAACGCCTACCGAGTGATGATGCAAAACCTTTTGCTTGCTCGTGGGTCTTTTTTTTTTTGAAAGTTTCGAAGGTCTCTACATGGCATTTTTTGAGTAATTTATTTAAACGGCTTCCCCAAAGTATAGCCACACAACCCAAGAGCATAACATAAATAATATAGTACACAATGGGGTTATTTGTATTCCTCCACCACCACCACCACCACCACCCCTTCTTCGGTCGTACACGAGTGCTTATTAGGCCATCGATTCTCGAGTTGTCGTGAGTCAAAGGGGAGGAACACCCCGTTTGGTGTTGGTTAGGGGAAGGCGAGAAGAGGAGTGGTCGAGTTTGTATTATTAATAGGTATTATGATTTTCTTCTCTTTTTTTTTTTTTTTTTAAATTTATTTATACATAATGTTTTTTTTTCCTGTTCAGTTTACGCCTATTGTCGAGTGCACCGAATCAAGGGCGCGACGGTCGAAAAAAAAAATAAAGAGGATACGTCCGACATAATATACAATACCGACTAATGGATGTGTTCTCAAGGTCTCTTACGATTATTATTATTATTATGTTTTTTATTCGTGCATAGGTACCTACTTCTGTGTCTATGTTTCGTTTGTGTACACACATGCATGTGTTCGTGCGCGGTAGAGGTGAAGGCTGTACGCGAAGAGTTTTGCCGTTCAATTTCGATAGCTGAAAATAATAATAATAATAACACATTAACAACGCCGTGGTGTTCACGAAATAAAATAAAGTTCAAATACAAAGCAAAACAATAGAATTAGAACAAATGGAAATTTATGGCGAAAAGTCCGCTGCTGCTGTGTGTGTGTGTGAACAATGTACATGATATAATGGGCTAACCCGCGTGACCATTAAATAACGCTTAACCGTATCACACACACACACATATACCTGCTATTATATTGTTTTAATCAATTAATTAATCATCAAGTCCCCCGGCCCGGTAAGGTTATGGACACGAGGTCTGCAAAATGATTTTTGGCTTTTATCTAGTGGCGCAAACATGTACCAGGACAAAAGTTCCTGGAAAAATGGATCCCTAGACGAAAGACCCGTTTTGAAAAAGTCCGACTATGTATAATATGTTTTACAAAAAAAAAATAATAATTTATAAATTACAGTCTAATTAAAAATGTCTTTTTCGACATGTGGATCTTTTAAATCTATTGGATTATACAATTATATTTTTATACCGTTTACAGTTCATTCTTGAAATAATTGCAATTTTGTAGTATTTCTTTTTGAAAACATTTTTATTTGTGTTGTATATAACAATATTCAAATTTTTATGTTTCATAAATTGATTAAGCTCTAGCAAATACTTAAAAATATGAAAATTTTTTTATTTTAAAATATTTTACAATGACATAAACAAATATGTTTTAAAAACGAAACTACTAAACATCAATTATTTTGAAAGAAAACTGTTGTAGTACATTAAAAGAATCATCCGGTATGTATTTTTTTTAATTAAAAATGTGTTTAGTTTAAACTTATCAGTCGATGTTATTTAAAAAGCTGGGCCTTTTTTTAAAAAAAACTTTGTGAACATTTTCATTAGATGGAAGAAACAGGTTTTTTTTGTATAATGTAAGAATAAGTATTAAGCATATCTTTTTTCTTTAAATCTACAGTACACATGGTGTGCTTAAAACTAAAGTAAAAAAGATAACCTGTGCAAAAATAAAAGCGGTTTTTAACTAGAGATGAAAAAATATCCGATTTTTACATCCGGACCTTTTGTCTTACTTTTGATTTACCAACTAGACCTTTTTACTCCTGACTTTTTTATCGTTTAGCGGTCCTTTCAGACAAACTGCGGATATAGTAATAATTTCTGTTTACAGCAAAATTTGAATTTTTTTTGTTAAAAATAAACCAAAATTAATTCATTTTTGAGAATTTTTTTTTCATAGAATAAACAACTGAACTGCATTGCCAAGTTGTGCAATTTAAGTGTAACGACTAATCATGACTTTAACTAGTGGCAGTGTTGGGAAATTTGTTTTTTTTTAATTTAATTACACTTATAATTACATTTAACTGATTTGTCTACTTTTTGCTTAGCTAGTTTTTTTTGCTATAATGGATTTTTATAAAACGTTACCATTGCGTTATATTTTTAGTATAGTAAAATGTTAAAAAACATAAGTAAATAATACATTATAATTTATAGTTACAATATCTTACAAAAAAGTTACTTCAGTCTGTCGTTTAACTTTATAATCATACAAATTTTGAAAAAAATGTAATACATAACGTTATAATTAGCTATTAGCCTAACTTTATTTAATTTAATAAGAATAATAGAAGATAGTTTAAAAAATGTAATGTTTAACTGTTATTTTTTTGCTTAATGGTTGAGCTAATATGAAATACTAATTAACAACAGAATGGTTTAAAACAAGTTTTACAACAGGAGTTTGTGTACTTGTAACTTATAGTTCAAAGTAGAATTTTTTAAAACCAAATAATCAAGAATACTATATTCTTGACGAGGAACAAGAATGTGTATTATTTATGTTGATAGGATTTTTAAATTTAAGTATGAAAAGGGTAATTTACTGAAATTCATCACATGTTACCATAACAGCTGTGGTTTTACCATAATGCTAGGAACTGTCGAATTAGGATAAAAATCATGCACAACGACAGTTAGTTATGAAACAATTGTGGCATGCTTATAGCAGTTCTGTTCTTGGCTATTGGTAGATATATGGAGCCAAACTCGTCAGTACTCGAATTGTGTTAAAAATATAAACTAGCACAGCAAAAAGTAAGCCGAGTGGTTGCTAAATTTTAAAATTATTAAGTCGCTGTAAAACGCTATGATGCGAATCTGCATGATAAATTAATTTAAACATGCACAGAATAATGCCAGATTATTAAAGTTTTATTAAATATGTGGTTTACACTTGTGCCAAACTAATAATTGATACAATTTTCAATTAGGCCAGTATTTTTTTTTTTTATGTTGAAACTTGCATATTATTGTAAACATATTTTGACAGAAAATGTATTGTAAACATTTTTTTTCACATTATCCAAGTATTTACTGTAAAAGCTCTTGGCGCTCTATATATGACTCATCTTCGATTGTCATTTATACAGTTTTCAGTTTAGTCTTGTATTATTATTTATTAACTAAGCGTTGTTGTTTTTTTTTTATTGCAGGTTTACGATTGGACAATAATCTATCGTTGAGTTCAATGGGTCCGCAGTCGCCTCTAGATTTGAAACCTGACACAGCTACTTTAATGGCCAATTACAGTCCTCCGGGAGATCCCTTAAGTCCAGGGTGAGTATTTTAAAGTATAATACAATTTAACGTTTTACAAAAAACCCTTTAGCTTAGGAATCAAATAAGTTGAGTTAGTAGACCTTTTTAATTTGTTTAGGCTATCTTCTTAACCTTATACCGTTAAAATTTTGATCAGCCGGCCACGTTCTTTGTCCTTCACAATTTTTACAACACATACTTCCATGCGCTTCCTACATCCACTTATGTATCATAACAATCCTATAATCGGCATTGATCTTGAATTTTCTAAATTCAATTACTTTTGAAACTTTACAAGATTTTTACCAAACCGACTTTAGTATACCTATATTATTAAATATAATGTTTATGTTATAAAGTTCAACATCATCTCTATTGGTCATAAATGGCTGAATTTTCATTTGGGTTTTTAACGTTTTTCCCATTAATTTTTTATTAGTTTTTCTTCTAATTAATTTTGTATCAATAGTATATTAATATTCAGAGTCATATTTTCATTAAGACAAACACTTCATAAGTATAACGCGTATTGAAATTGTATTTTAATTTAGTGTTTTAAATTCTAAAATAACAAAGCAAGTTGGTCAAACTGTTTTATTAAATTTTTTGTGGGAACTCACCGATGGACTCAGAACCGGTGTACCTCTCCCTGACACCACTAACATTTTAGGCCTCAATTCGACCACAAACTTACTTGGAAAAAATACCTCTATGAAATCAAAGCAATAGTTAATGTAATGTAATAAAAATTATATCTAACCATAAATGGGGTGCCGATCAAAATATCATCAATGGTTATAGATCATTGGTAAAATTTACACTTGACTACGGCGACGTCATTTATAACTCGGCCAACTCATCTGTAATCTAAATGATCAATCCCATACAGAAAAAGGGAATGAAACTGGCTTTGGGGGCATATTGGACAAATCCAACAGAAAGCATCTTACGCGAAACAGGCGAACCACCCCTTGAAATAAGAAGAACCTTCAGCATTATTAAATACTGCATCAATAAACCAACCAAGTGTCAAACCCAGTGCTCACAAGCATACTTGATCCATGCTAACTTAACCCATTTCTAAAAAAAAAGAAAAATCATCCAATATGGTTTCAATACAAACAAATATCCCCTCTGACCCCTCTATCAAACTTGTGCAATGTCACCTGATCATTAATCATATAATAGTAGACTGCCCGCAATACTCATCTACCAGAAATCAACATGACATCCCAACTACAATAAAAGATGCTTTTGAAGAAACTAATAACATTTTTGAAATGTATTAAACTGTACAAGTTAATGTAAAATCGACCACATTTCTTGATGTTCGAACATTTTATTTTTTCTTTCTATTTATACAATTTATCTTACACATAGGCTAATAACCTAGACGTTAAGCCTGTCTTAACTCGATAAAAAAATTAATGAGATATGTATGACTATACAAACTGGTGTACAAACTGGTCACTCATACAAGTATGACGCACGTACCTGCTATCCCGTCGATTTTTGTTCAATATTTACTTCTTTAACATTTATGGTTTACCGTTTTCACAAAGGCTAAGTGCTTTACCCTTCAATTAAAAAAAAAAAAAAAAACTTAAAAGTAAATGTCAGTAATGTGAGCATCAATAACACACAATGGTTGACCATTGTAACCCGTTGAAACTTAAAAGGGTATAATTTACGCTATTCAAATGACGATAATAATTAATAATGAACAAATATTATATCAACTCTGTTTATCAATGGCCATTATGGTTTTTTTGTTAGGTTTTCATTAATTTTTTTTCTATTATACATTTAAAACACAATCTATTCGGCTTTATCGCGCGTTTCTAGTTTGTTTGTTTAGCGTGTGTCAGTATATACTTGAAAAAAAACCTATATAATTTGTATATTATAATATATGATGATAAAATATAATTATTATAGTCAAGACCCAGACAATTTTCGAGCGAATAATAACTAACGTCGACCGCGACCTAAACGAGAATTATATATGAAACATTTTTGAATGTTTTTTTGTTATTATTTTTATTTCTTTAGGTATATGTTTTAAATTTATTTATACGTATGCATTTTTTTTTTATCAATAATTATTTATTGTCGCAGTCGGTTTTGTTCCGTCTCTTCGCGTTTCACAATCTTTTTTTTTTTACAGCCGTACTTAGCGTGTGTGTGTGTGTGTGTGTAATCCGTTTGCATCGAAATTAGGACAATATTACAGTGCATCATTATATATGTATATTATTATTATTGTGTTCAGCAAAAAAATCACAAACACCGCAGTGACGTTACATTTTTTTTTTCTTAATTCATTTTTAGTTTTAGTCGTTGTCGACGACAGTGGCACACATCCACGGATAGGTGTAATTTTGTCGTGTGTCGTTCACCAATTATTAGAGTAGTACGATAAAAATACTAACGCCGGGTTTTTGAACATTATTTGTTTTTATTAGTTATATCAATATCATTGTGTAATACATTACCTACCGTCTGTCGTCGTCTCGATTAGCTCACTTTTTAACCGAAAAGTTTCAAATAACTGCACAAAGATGTACTCCAATTACTACACAATGTACACCAGCGACAGGTAAAAATATAACAAAATGTAATTTTATGAAAACGCGCCATCTTTGCTAGCGGTAACCGTGGTAACAACTTGGTAACCACATCGGGTAACTTCGGTAACACTACCCCAATCAAGAGGAGTGGAAATTCGCTCTAGTAAATTTCCGCTAGATATCTAATTAAACCATAATACAAATTTTTAAAAAATATATATATGTATGGGTATATATTATAATAAATAATAAATCGCTTTACCGTAGGAAAATTTTTGTATTGTTAATCATAAAAAACAAAAATGCATCCAGCAAGCGGTATCCTTGTGTTCTGTGTAACATACTAATTAGAACATTATTTTAAATTAAATCGCCTTTAAGTTTGACCGGCGACGTCTATCATCGAGGCCTTGGTGTCGAATTCATTTATTGTGTTCATCCAAGTGAAGGGAATAATACGATTTGTAAGTAATGAATAAAGGACAATTATTGTATGCGACCGAATCTAAAAAATTGTATTCTATAGAAAACAAATTAACCTTAAATTTGTATTGAAAATACATAATGTTGTAATAAATAGTGTTATTTCTTATTAAACATTCTGGATGGGATGTATTGCAGATACAAAACCATCGATATTCATTAAAAAAAAGTACTAAAATATCATCAACTTGTACTTTTTCATAAACCTATAAAAAACGTGTAGTATAATTAAATGTCCAAAAAGTCACCCAAGTAAAAGTTTAGAAAAATCTTTGATCATTGAGGTTGTATGTAGATGTACTTTTGGCTAAAATTACTCAGTACCTCGTCATTTAAGTTTTTTTAAATAATTATTTTTTCGAATAACAAATAATAATTTAAAGAAAAAAGTCTTTTAAAATTCATTTTTATTTTATAATATAATGTCTATTTAAATGGTTCAACTAATTTGTTGTTTAAATATTTGTTTACACAATAGCTAAAAAAAACCCTAGCAAATTTTTGGTTTTAAAAATAGTAAAATAATAAATTATTTTGGAAAAATCCGTGTATAATTGAGGAAAATTCAATTTGTTTGAAGTAGATAAACACTCATTTATTTGAATGTTTGCTGCCCAATTAAGAATACAATTTTGTTTAGAATTTCCTAAACACTTGTTGAGCTGTCTCGACGATGATGTAATGTCATGAGGATGACACACCTAGTTAATGTGGGGAAACGGAAAGCATGCATAAAAATTGTTTTATTTATTATTTTTGTTATTATCGGCTCAGTACCTTCAAATAATAGCAATAAGTGCATTATACGATATTATCCGGTAGTCGACACTAGTCATAACATATGTTGATGAATATTCCGTCTTATCTTCTGTCTACAACACTTCTGTCATAAAGGCCAAACCAATTAATGTTTGGCTGACAATGGACTCCGTTGGAATGTGGGCTATTAAAAAATAATAAAGCGTTTGCACGTCGGTGTAAGACTATTATACCAGAACTGAGAATATTCGACCAAATAAAAAAACTACTTAAAATAAATAGTAATAATATAATAATCAAACGAATTCAAAGGATAGATTAGGCCTTCTTTAACATCTTCAGTATAACAACTTCAGTATAAATTTGTGTGGTAACTTTACCAATAGAAAAAAAAACTTATATACTTCATTATCAATGTTGTCTGAAAATTGAGCTGACTAAATGTCAACTACACCGAAGATATATAATATAATTATTATAAAACTATTATTAGCTAATAAAAAAAACTATTCATTGGTTTAAGAGGGGAATTAATTTTGTCTCCAACAATAACAACTCCATTTTTAAGTCATAAGTCTAAATTTTTCGTTACAAATCGATTTCAATTTTAATATCATATTACTAATGATTTTTAACTGGTAAATTATGTTGTGAACAAATTTAAAATGTTAAATATAGTTTTTTTTTTATCTTAAAAATATGCTTTTTTTGCAATTCCTTCATGTATCAGACAAATTTAATTATTGTCTGTCAATCTTATAATGTATAAGCATTTTTTATTTTTTTTTTATTTATATACCATACAAGGTATTCAAAATGTTTTTTTTTGTCAGTTTAGTTTTTTAACAGCCTAGGCCAGTGGTATTTGACGTTGGATTAATTATAATATATTTTTATTTTAGTACTTTCTAATTGTTTTTTTTTAAATATTTGTTTGCAGAATGTACAACGTCGACCGGAATAATATGATGAACACTAATTCGTGTAATAGCCAAGATTCACCGAACTACCCTCCTAATCATCCGTTGAGTGGATCGAAACACTTGTGCTCCATTTGTGGTGACCGTGCCAGCGGTAAACATTATGGAGTTTACAGGTAAAAAATAGTATTATAGCGTATCGTAACATTACCATCCACGTCTTACGCTCTAGTAGGTATATCCGATATTATGAAATTTTCTTCCTGAATAGATTATAATAATAAAAGTACATAATATTTTGCTATCGGTGGTTAAGACGTTGGATACGTAAAGTGTCAGTCGTCACTCGTAACAACGGTACGGTTCGACGATACAATTGAAATAATTGTAATTGTGATTGTAGTTGTGAAGGATGCAAAGGATTTTTCAAACGGACGGTCAGAAAGAATTTGTCGTACGCGTGTCGTGAAGACAACAAATGCATTATTGACAAGCGCCAACGGAACAGATGTCAGTATTGCCGGTATCAAAAATGTCTGACGATGGGCATGAAACGAGAAGCCGTCCAGGTATCTATCGATTGTTCAAGTACCTACTAATTGGTCGGTTCAAATGTAAACATTCATTTTTTTATCATTCAGGAGGAGAGACAGCGCACCAAAGAACGAGATCACATGGAGATCGAACCGACGAGCAGTTCCAACACGGACATGCCGGTCGAACTGATTTTGAAAGCTGAAAACAAAGCCGACGCAATAAAGACTGAACAACCACACATTGAGCAACAAGTGAGTCGAGTGATTATTGAATGACAAACTTAAATTATTATACTTACCCGTTTTGTTTAATTTTCTTTATTTCAGCATCCTCAACATACCGTCGGCTCCATCTGTCAAGCGACGGACAAACAGTTGATACAACTTGTCGAATGGGCAAAACACATACCACATTTTAAAAGTTTACCATTAGGCGATCAAGTCTTGCTGTTGAGAGCAGGTCAGTTTAACAAAATATTATGTTTATCGGTTTTATAAAATGTACATCACATGGCAAAATTTGTCGTCTAAAGACTACGTACGGCATTTGTTAAATATTGCTTCAATGCGATGCAATTTTCAGACCATCCCTTGTGCTTTTTAAAACACGATAATGTTTTATACTTGTAAATTAAACATTTGCATAAAAAATCTGCTGTCAAAATTTTTTTTTTTATTTAGGAATAACTAATATGTTTTCAGGTTGGAACGAGCTGATGATTGCAGCGTTTTCGCACCGATCCATTAGCGTGAAGGACGGCATAGTGTTGGCCACCGGACTGACCGTTTACAGAGATTCGGCTCATCAAGCTGGTGTCGAAGCCATATTCGACCGCGTCCTCACCGAGCTTGTCGCCAAAATGAGAGACATGGGCATGGACAGAACGGAGCTTGGTTGTTTGCGCACGATCATCCTGTTTAATCCTGGTAAGTAGCCGCCGTGTGTTGTGTTCAAATTTTGTATACTGCCAGAATTGATAATATTATATTAACGTTCCATCTACCATTACTTTGTAGGTTCCAAAGGTTTGCAGTCTGTCAACGAAGTGGAAATACTACGCGACAAGGTCTATATCGCTCTGGAAGAGTATTGCCGTACGACCCATCCAGAAGAACCGGGACGCTTCGCCAAACTCCTTTTGCGTTTACCTTCGTTGCGTTCGATCGGCCTCAAATGCCTGGAACATCTCTTCTTCTACAAACTGATCGGAGATTCACCGCTCGACACATTCCTAATGGAAGTGCTCGAATCGTCGCACGACACGCAAGTGGCCACATAATTTTTGTATTCATCGAGCGGAACGCTGATGGGGAATTAAACGTAACATAATTGACGTGTGACAAGATAAATGTTTTTTTTTTCTTTTGAATTATTTTATTTTTACTCAAATGTGTTGTGTGTAAATTGATCTGGTGAAATTATTTTTAAAACCTTTATCGGTCGATGATCATCATATTATTATTACTATTGCTATTAAATATTTATACATAAATTATATATTTTTAATTATTTTTATATAAACTAAGGTTAGGTATTACTTACATTTTATTAATATTTATTTATATGTTAAATTCTGAGGATATACATTTTGTTTTGTAAGTGAATTATTACTATTATATTTAAATATATATATTTTTTTAAAACAAAATATTTTATTTAAAAACAAATGATATGTATTTTATTAATTAAATTATATTTTATTAGGTAGTTTAGTTTGTTTTATCGAAAGAAAAACAAGTAGTGCGTAATGAGGTTAACAAGTAATACACATTGTACACATCACATACGATAAAATTAAACCTGTTAACAAACACTGCGGTTAACTATCAAAGCGCTTCAAAAAAAATATATATACATTATACTTTTGATCTTGTCTACGATAATGCTATAATAATTGTATAATTATTAAATATTCATTGAATATTTGTTCGGAAGGTTTTTTGACTCGTAGTTTGTACGTTATTCCTGAAAAAAAAAAAATTAAGAGAACCATAATTGTATTATTTGATCGTTTTGTTGTTGTAATAATTATTTTTTACAAAAGAATACATCACAGACATTTTTTTTTTTGTATTAAATAAATTAATTCAATAATTTATTTAGATCGGTTTTCTATTGTATTTTGTTCGGTTTATATTTTTTTCGTAGTCAATTTTTTGTAAAAAAAAAAGTAGCTTATAACAAATTATGAAATATAATAATAAAGCTTTAACTATTATTTTACGATTGTAAAAATAAAATAAAATAACTATTATATAATATAATGTTTTATTAGCTGATAGGAATAACGTTACGTTTATTAAATATATTTATTTTTTAAGGCAAATGATATTGGTAATTTTTTTTGTTTAATATTACAATATTATATTGAATACAATTAAAAAAAAAAATGATTAAACGGTTATGGTGTGTATTATATTATTTTATATATACATATATTATGCAAACAAACAAATGTTAACTGTTAATTTTTTGTTTTTTAAATACAAATTAAGGTTCCTAGTGTTTTTTTCAGTAAAAATACTGTAAAACAAGTAATAATTGTACGATGTTTCTTTTTTTTTGTAATTTGAATTTTAAATAAGTATTACATTTAGAAATAAATTCAGCAACAAAAACAAAAGGCTAGAAGTTATTTTTGCATTTTACGCGTTATTATTCATAGAAATATATTATTTAAATAAAAAATAAAAAATGTAACGACGTGTGTTTTGTTTAAAATAATATATAATAATTATTATCATAGTTAATGTTGATATTGTAATAATATCGGCTGCTTATAATATTATTGTGTATAGTTTTATTTGTTTTTATGATCCATTAAGTCGATTCGGTCAAATTCGATTGTAAACTTCCACATAAACGTGTTTACCTAAAAACCAGTACAGTGGGGTCGGGGCATAGTGGGGACCGGACGGAGAGGTCACAGGTTTACAGGAATTTTCAAATGTGAAAGTGATAAAATCACTCGAACAAACGCTTCGATGTAAATCAGTGGTTAGTATTTTCAAGCCAGTACAGTCCAAACCGAGCACAGTGTAAACCAGCAAAGTTAGAGAGTATTAAATTGAGGTGCTGTATTTACAAATAAGCATCAAAGCGTTTATTTGAAAGTGATTTTATTCAATTTTATCACTTTTATTTATAATAATTCCTGTAGGCCTGTGACATCTCCGTCCCCCTCTATGCTTTGATTCCATTATGCCTATACTCTACTGTACTAGTCCTCTCGGATAAAATCACTCAGCCAAAAAAAACTTAAGTAAAAAAAAAAAAAATGTAATTTAAAACTAAAAGTGATACTTTAGTATCAAAACGTAATAGTATCATATCCTGCATAGCTCTACATAAAATTGTTGTAATCATTTGATAATTTTTTTTAATATTTTAGGTTTTTTTTTGTAAAAATATACGACATTTTCAACTTAAAGGTCTAAAAACTAAACGGGCTTACTAAATAAATGTTCCTTATAAATTGCAACTTGATCTGACTCTTTTTCTCAAAATTATAGCCAGTAAAAATTCCAATTTAAAACTTGTTTGGTTTTTTTTTTTCAAATTTTAACTGTGAAGAAGTAAACTTAATCAACTTTTACCCCTCCTCTAAGCACCAACTAGATGAAATTTGTGATTTATAGAGTTACTACTCGAAGGAATTGATCTAGTATTAAAAAAGTTACAGTGTATACAGAAAAAAAAAAAGCTCACATCATTGTTAAACCAATACTTTCTCCGCTTTGCATCGAAGCTAAAATCTAAAAATTTGTTTAGCGTTACGGTGAAAAGCACAACATCAATAGTTAATTGTTAATGAATTAATTTAGTGTAACTGTTTTGTTATATTTACACTATTTACCCGCCTTGCGGTTACTCCCATTTGGATATCTTTACTGGTATCAAAATGGGAGTAACCGCAAGGTGTGTAAATAGTGTAAATATAATACCCCATTCAAGTTGTAATAATGTTTTGTTACATTTCGAGCCGAGGGATACAATTTAATTATTATAGTTAAATACTTAAGTCCGAATGTTACGTTTGGTTTTTGAACAGTACCTTTAAGTAGCGTTAGGAACCCTGGTGAGTTTTGTAGGATACACAAAAACATGCACACATCAACTTCGACCAAATGGATATTATAAATTAATTGTACCTTATTACAACTTGTCTCGAATGAATGCTAATTATCTTTCTTTTCGTAGTCAAAACCTTGATCTTTAATTTCGTTTGGTGTCTACTAGTATTCGAAAGGCATTTTACAATCTTTTGGCATGACCAGCAAGTCCGGATTGAATTTGTACGCAAGCCATTTTGGATTATCCTCTCGTTCACGTTCTTTTTTTTTTTCATAAGTTAGTCGATTAGGTCTTCGTTCATTCTCAAGATAACGGTCGATTGTTATTGCAACTCTTCTCTAATTTGTCTTTGTTTTGTTATTTTCTTCTCTCGACTTCTATCGTGTCCTCCTCTTCACTATCGTGAAATACGTCGTCCTTTGCCTTAGCCTTCTGCTTCTCCTTTCGCCTGGGTTCCCTCGTTCACTTTCTCTGTACATTTTTTAGGGTGTTATTTCTTAAATTTGAAGGCATCGTGGTGAACTTTTTAAACTTGACCCGTTTGATATAGTTAACAACAGTATTTATAATAGTTAAATTAGTATATGGCTTGGTAATTTTGAAGGGTTTCTTTCTTTTTTTTCAACTTGGTACCACCACTAAAAATACACTTTGCGAGATGTTTTTTGTTTGTTTTAATCAATTGAAATCAAATACAACTTTAAATAACAAAATAGAAAAAAAAACTCGTGTCGATAACAGTACAAAAATTAATAATTCAAAGCGCAAATAAGAGCTACGCCCCTTTTCACCCAATGGCTCTGCGGTTGATTGCTGGGCACTTCTATTGACAGCACGAAATTGGTCGAATGGCCAGTCGTCGACAGAGTACCGGCTCTGGTCAGTGTTTTGTAAATGGGACAAACGTAAAATCCGCTTTTGAGTTTGTGACCTTGTTCCGGTATCAGCCAAATGGGAGGCATTTCTACAAAGAAAAACAAAAAATACACAACTAACACCGATAAGTAATAATTTTTTTAATAGAAATTACTTTTACATCTACAACTAAGGACTGAAAGACTGACTATATTGTTACGAAGGAGTTACAAAATCACGAGAGATATTGTTTTAAGTTTTTTATGTATATTATACCTAATTGTTATCTCATTTACATAAAAAAGTAACTAATTTAAATATTTAAATTGTATTGCTAGATTATTCAAACATATTTTTAGCAGAATCTGTTACAACATATTTTGTTGTATCTTATTGTATATTGTTTATGATTTTTCAAAACCAGTATATAAAAACCCCCAGTATCTGTTACTGTGTTTTAATAGGTAAACATTGACCACTTGTCTATCATTATCTCAAAACATTTCATCGTGTCTGGTTATCGGTGCTATCGAGCCTATCGGACAATGTGATCATAAATATGAATTTTATGGGCTACTGAATTTTGGTAGACAGAAGACATGTGACATCTGTAGAATGTAAAATCAAAAATGATAAAATTCGGAAATACCCGTGTAAAGTTCTTTAGGCCTGGATTCATCCAATGTGCGGAGCTGTTCGTTCCACCGGCAGCCTTCCAAAAACAAACCGTATATCACACATCCGTTTTCGGGTCGTTTGTCAGGGGCACTGTCCAACACCGTGAATGAGTATTGAATGGCGTCGATGGACAAGACGTTCTTGCGAGCATAGTTCTGCAAACAACCGGTCAGAAAGGCTTGCGGGAAAAAGAATCCGGATATCCAAAAGCTCGATGGGATTCCGTTGTCGATCCATTTGTTCAAGAACTCCACGCGAGCTCGCAGATCGACCACCCACGCACCTGCCAAATGGAGTTAAAATGATTTGAACTTCTCCTTATAGTTGCACCGACAATTTCTCTTGCATGGGATATCTACAGTGCATAAAAAGAGCTGTCGAGCCCACTCAATACATGCTTACCTAAAGGCTTCAGAGAAGGATACCCTCGTTTGGCCCACATCAAAGGTATTTGATTGGTCATTACACTTTTCATCATTTGTTCCAGAGAGTCGGTCATCACTACCAAACCTTTGAGAGCTTTCAAAAGACTCTTGAGCGTATCCTGGACTATCGACAGCAGCCGGTTGAACCTGACCAGCTCCTGCATGAGCACTGTGTTCAACGACTCTTCGTACATTACTGGGTATTTTTCTAGTATCAAACCTAGAGACGGCCACGGATCTGGTATGTCTCGCAAAAGTGATTGTGCCATGTTGTTTAGTACGTCCTCCCCGTCTGAAGAACTAGCCAACGTCGTACGCGGTTGTAAGGACAGCAAAATACCAAGAGTTCTGTAGAAAATAAAAATTATCTATGACCCAGCGAATGTAGTTATCAGTCAATCTGTATACGATATTTATATGTTTCAAGGTTTTGTAGACAATTTAAATATACTTGGTGGATTATTTACAGACCTGATAAAACGAAGATAATGAGACTCATTAAGAGCAGAGAAGACCTCAATGAGTTGGAAAGGTTTAATTTATGAAAAAGTTATTGATTTTAAATCTCTATTTGGTAACAACTGTAAGCACTAATAATAATAGGTCAACGGAAATAAGTATTAGATTAAGTAAATCCAAAAAAGCGTTTTACACATTGATGAAGTTCTTAAGGTCTAAAATAATATGTATGTGGCTATTATAAGACCAATTTTCACCCATGGTTGTGAGGCTTGAACGACAACTAAACCGACCTAGGGAAAAGAGACGGTTTGATGGTAAAAAAAAATGTAAGGTTAGGTTAGGGGTTCAGACGTGAGGTTCCTAGAGGCACAAAGCTTTTTGCAAGATTAAAGCCTTCGAGCCAGCCTTGCTTGCATTTTTCCTACTCGGTGGTGGTGTGCAGTACTTACCTGTAAGTTTCTGACTGAGCAAAAGTGATGTCGGCGTTGGAGTGCAATCCGAAAAGTGCCGGGTCGTCGTTGACGGGCAGCGTTTTGATGTAAGCCAAGTAATCGTCGTAGTCCGCTTCGGGCGACTGCTGATAGTAATAGGTTTCAGCGTCGAACGCGTGTGTCGTACTGAGGACGGCCGGGTCGTAGAAATCCTGCAAGACGTTCATCACACACCGTCTGTCCCAGTCGTCGGTGACTCGGCCGCCGTAATTAATCTGGCCCGCGGTGTACTTGAGCACTTCGTAAGGAACGGTGTCGTACTCGTTGAGAAACATGAACAGCTGGTTGATGCATATCCGCAGGTCTCCGTCCGTGAATTCGTAGGCTATGTTGAAACCCAGAGAGCCAAACTTGCGTCGTTCCAAGCACACGCCGTGAAATAAGCACAACGAGAATAGGAGCCATTTGAAGTTTTTCGTCTTCTCCTCTTCGGACGACATGTAGGTCGCGTACTCTGCGATGGGTCCGGTAAAAGCTCGCAGCAAGTTAGCCTTGACTCCGCGAGGTGGTTCGATAGTCATTTTCGAACCGTTCTGCAATATGGACACAGGGAACGACGGCGACGGACTGGATGTCAACCAGATACGGAAATCTTTGTGCACATGGTCCGGCGATATGGATTCCACCAGATACTCCAATCGCGGCATCCAGCTAGGCGACAAATGACAGTTCTGCAAATCGAAAACAGGCCATGAAAACTTGTCGTTTGTTACCCAACAAAAAAAACAATTACCTGAAAGAAAATCCAATTGCCGGCCGTGATGGCCTCGTCGTAAAGACTTTCGGCAAGAGGTCCTTGGCCCTGACCTAGCGATATCGAAAAGAACCGCTTGGTCATTTTCATCTAAAACGAAATCGTATTTACAATGGTGGTCGAAATTTTGGTGGACAAAACAAATTACTTTGTCGGCCAACTTGTACAGCCCGCTGGCCGGATCCGTGCCGACAGAGAGAATAAATATTAGGGGCACCGTCGGCGTCGAATCTTTGTACATTTCGCCGAGATCGGACGATTGTGGTTCGACAAAACGTGCTCCGATATTTCTTATCAAAAAGTCCTGTAATCCGTTTAACACTTTGTCGGGTCTCAAGCACTTTAGTATCATTACAAATTGAAAATAATCAAACTGTTTATCCCAAGGAGGCGGTAAAGTTTCCCTAAAAATAACAACAATAGACATAATGTTAGTATTTTTTTCAAGCGATTTGGTATCAGGTGATAATCTTTAAAATTCAGTCAACGCTTATATAAATTTATTTTTCACAGAACCTAAATATAACTGAATGATCATTAAAGCAATGACGTGCACAATAATGTTTAAGGGTACACACTTTCTAAAATTAATATTAAAATAGGCATATGGTTGTCTCGTGTGTTCAAAAAATTGTGGTCAAGTGAGGTTGAAAGAGGCAGCAAAGGTGATTCTTTACAGTAGGGTAACATTTAGAGTGAAAATGTAATTGTATACGACGGTAGTGAAACAAGCAATGATCCCTTGTTAAGCATGTGATAAAAGAGGATCCTATAACGAAAAAACCTTTTGGGAGGTCCAGGTTAAAGTGAAAAGACTGCGTAAAGAAGGATATAAAAACGATATGACCATAAATTAAAAGGAGAGAGGCTTGACAGATGGCAAGATTTGTGTTTAGCGGCATGGCCTTAAAGGCCGGAGCCAATGAAGAAGAAGAGATTGATGTGTGAAGTGACTATGTTGGAGAGAGTTAGGGAAGATAATTAAAGACGTTTTTTGGGATTACACCAATAGTAGAAATGATAAGATAAATTATTAGACCAAGATGTTTTGAGTATTTTGAAACATAGAAAAGTAGATGGATTTAGTGATGGAAGTACACACGTGTGAAGCAAAAAAATAAATGATGATGAACAGAGATTAGCGAATAGTGAATTGAGGTTAGGTTAATCGACCCCATTTGTATAAATTAAAAAGGTTCTTAAGATATCATTCCTGGAGCTCCTGAACCCGCTAATAAGAGAAAATCACTCATAGTCACATCTATGGTGTATTTATTGAGATTTGAATTAGTACAAACCTATGTGGTTCCGGTGAGTCGATTATTTTTTTGTACAGAGGTGACTGTACGGCAAAATTCTCTACAAATTTTACGAAAACTGGTAAATTAGCCAACGATTGTATCTCTTTCCACGCTCTATCGGGAAGCCAACTAGGCGCCGGATTAGGTTCTTCCTGCAAATATTTTGATTTGAAAACAAATTTTACTAAAAGTTTACGGTATACCAATATAGACTTAAATGTATTTAGCAAAAATTAAATACCGTTAAGGGAGCACCGCCGGCCAAAAAAAATGTCCATTCGTTGAAGTTTATTGTACCGGCTTCAATCATGATTCGAACACACAATAATACGGCAAATTGCATTTTGTTACGTTCAAACAGCGATCGGCATACGTTACAGTAAAGATTAAACGTAAAGTGGTTGTTAATAGTACTAACACGTTCTTCGATATTTTCTATAACAAAAATATTCTATTGCTATTAGCGTTGGGAATCCGAAATTGCTGGGTGGGCGGACGTCGAAAAATGTAAAGTTTACCTGATTTATCAGTTTCTTGAATGCTGGATATGAAAAGTCCTATGAACCAATTCAACGAGTATTGGTACATTGGGTCCACCACGGGAAGTTCGGCTAAACAAAAGTAGAGTAGTTGACCTCGATTTGCAACCGGGATATATAAGGCACGCGTTTCGTCGATATCGATTTGGGTTTTTTCGGCCGCTCTAACTTTTTGCTAAATACCGAAGACAATATTGGAAACGTTCGTTATTTGCATATATATTGATTTATGTTTACCATAATTTCGTCGCTTTTCAACTTGGAAGACTCCAACATCATTATCAGTCCAAGGTCGTCTACTGGAGACCCTTCGGCGGCCGTTAACCTCTTTAATATCCTATCCTGCGTTTCCTTAAGCTCGGATTTCATCTGAGCGACTCCGACCACAATGGCCGATCTCATTTCTTCCAGGTCCGGTCTCTCCTGCATGACGACGATAGCCAAAAGTTGGTCCAACAGACCACTGGCCACCAGAGTGAAGTTGACGATTATGACTTTTACCGAAACTTCAGGCAAGTAATGAGGGTTCGGCAATTTAGTGGTTATGAACAGTTGGAAGTCTTTGTGGTACGGTACTATGGATTCGCCGATCTTAATGACTTGGACACCGCCCTGTATAAAGACCGATCTCGAGAACAGTGAATCCATCGCAGGATCCAATTCGGTGCCAATGTTTTCGATTAAACACGTTTTGCCACTCCTAAACGTTCGGGAAATTTGTATGTAGACAACTAAAAAGTGTTTTGTTTTTCCTATCAACACCGGAAGTCTTATAGGGTTATTTGCCTGAATAGGGATTTTGTAAAAAAAGACTTTATTCCTACAGTTCTTGGATTTTTTCGTGAAATACTTGAATAGAAAAGATAACTTATGTTGGGCCCTCTTAAAGCAATTCTATGTGCAGAAAGTCTGCATGACGATTATTGAGTTTATATTATTGGGTATTTACTATTTGTCAATCCTGTATAGGAGTCCTTGGGGATATCGCTAGGATTCCCGGTGCTTATATTGTTTCAAACGTAACGACGAGCTGGGTTATTACCTCACTGCGGTCTGCAGTTCTTGCAATAGACTTTTATCGGAGAGCTTGCACACCGATATACCGTTCATCAGGGTTTTGCCCTAAACAGTTTTATTTGTATTTAGAAATAATGTTGAGAATTAAGACAGCTATTATAGAATCATAAAATTCTATATACAAATGAGCTTACTAAATTTTTAATCCATTTATTCGCCTGTCCTTGTGGGTCGATTATGAGCGGCCACCGTTTGGAGTTGAACATTAAAATGGCGTTTTCCACGCTAAAATCATCTCTGGGCAAACCAGCCATCTGCCAATGTCTGATGGTGACGGGTTCTCCCAGTATAGAAATAATATTACTGTTCGCCGAACGAGGTATTTGACGGTCTTCCATCATATCCATCCAACGGTCTTGCAGCGATTTCCTGTACTTGTCCGTGAATGGCGTCAAGTATGCGATCGAACCGGCACAAATTAATATGTCACCAATGATGTTCACCAAAAACACCTTGATAGTTCGTGGTAAAAAAAAAAAGTATTTAGGTGTTCAAATTTATAAAAATTCAATGTCATTTGTTTACCTTATAGTTGGCTATAAGCTGTATCCAACGTTCTCGTTCGTTAGCGAGGCCATCGATTAGTCTCAAAGCTCGATCCATCCGATCCTCGCAAAGCTTGCTTTTTGCTTCTAATTTATTTTTTTTGTCCATTGCGTCATTTAAGTTTTTTTGCAACAACTCAAGTCCGTCCATGACTTCTTTCATTTGCATTTGAGCTCCGTTCAGCTCGTCTTCGGCCGCTTTAAGTCGTAAATTAGCCGCCGCCAACGCTTCCTTTTTCGGTTTGACTTCTTTGTTCACGAAATAATATTTATAAATAGCGTGCACCCAAGAGCAAAGAGAAGTACACGCTTTGGAAACCTGAAAATCATTTTTTATCGTAACTGTGTTTTTTTTCATTTATGAGGATTACTGTAATAATTTTTTCAGGACGGAAATTCGGATTCTCGATGTAAGGTTCCAGTTTTTGAATGAGAGCTTCGGTCATGTTTTCTTTGTCGTAATTCAGTAACGAATTCAAAAAAGCCGCCGGATCAGCCATCATGTTGCGACTCGGCTCCCAATAATCCAACACTTTTTTACCCAAAGCACCACCTGCTACTTTAAGGGGTTTAATATCTTTCATAATACATATAGTCTCTAACACCAAGACCACGCCAGCCGGTGGTCTCTTGAGAACTTTCACTTCTGATATGTCATTTTTGTTCAACGACTTAAGACTTTCTTCAGCCGCCAACAACATCGGCAGTGCTTTGTCTGTAAAATGGCAATACTTCATGAGAAATAAACTTCATTAGACAAATAAGGATGAACAATTTAAGTAAGGTGTTTATAGACTAGGAGCCAAATAGATATTGTGGAAAGTTCTGAATAATAAAAGTGTCCCAAAAATTGTAAAGAGGGTTTGTAGCGAAACAGAAGAATACTCATTACTTCTCTAGTAACAGATGAACATAACACGAACAAGCTGATGCACCTTGGTGTATATTATTTTTTATTAAGGTACATATGTGTTATAAGAATTAAACTAGATAAGTGGAGATACAGTAGAAAGGGTAGTTGGGTTAGGTAGAAAGAGGAATCAAAAGTGTTATGTTGTAGAAAGTAGTCGTTTAGAGTAAAAGGTAAGCTACTACTTAGTAAAATTTGATGTATGAAAGTCTAAGCTGAGAGTTGACAAGAAAACGCTGAGATAAATGTATGGAATTACTAGTCAAGATAAAGTGAAGAAATGGTATTATAATAGATAGTTCGAAAATTGCATCAATAACCAGAAAAAGATTAAGATGGTATTGATAAAGTTGGAAGTAGGTAGGAAAATTACATAGTAAAAAGGCTAAGAAAGATATAGAAAAAGACCAAAAGAAAAATAAATAAATGTTGTAAAAAAGCTTTTGAGATTTGCGAATAGATCGTACTTAAGTCTCTTTGAGCGTCCCTGGCCAGTTCTTGGGTTTCTTCTGCTATTCTGGTCGCGACTTCTTCCACTTGAGCGACCTCTAATTTTTTAGCTCCAGCAATTTCCTTGTAAAAAAAAAAGCATTTTATTTTTCTTTCATATTTCACATCGAATTTATAATAACATATGATGTCTTTTTGTATAAATCTGATTTTTCCAGAAAGAGTTAACTTACCCTGTCCGCTTCTATGTTTACAACCATTTTCCCAACTTCCACTCGAGAAGCTTCGATAATTGGCTTTATTTCAATTAATTCGATTTGCATAATTTTTATATCTTCAGTAGTAGTGAGCAATTTATCCATCCCGGTTTGTAGCTTGTTCATCGAGTCCGTGATTTCTTGTTTCTTCTCTTGCAGCATGTCTATGTAGCATCTAAGAAGTTCCAGATACGAAGTGGGCGTTACGTATATGTGCCTGTTTAATTCCTAATGTAAAATATATGTACGTATATACATATTTTTTTGCCTCTAATTAATCAATTAAAACAAAAATAATATTAATAGTGCATACTTGTAGATACAAAATACTCTCGTCCATTACACTCTGTTGCATGTATTGAAATATATCTACTACACCATCGAATAGTTTTGGACTTTTTTTCAAGTCATCGACTTCGGATAAAAAGTGATGTGCGACACTCTGATAATTTCATTAGTTTGTTAAATGTTATGTTAATATTTGTTTAATAAATAAAATGTTTACTTTTAGTGCACTTTCTGGCCAATCGCTGAACCAATCAATAGTGCAGTTGTTGACCAGAGCGGGAAACTGGCGTACTCGAGCTCGGAAAACTTCACCTAAAGGGCTGAAAAAAATTCATAGAGCATATTCAGAAATGTGTTTTTTATGAATTTTATTATAATACAATGTTCACCTCATTGTAAGGACACAGTGTAGATTATTTTTGACTTGTTTTAAATACAAGCTAAACAGGTTAGATTTAGTGGGCAGCAACCCTATCTCGGTGGCCGGACCTTTCATGTTTTGCATAATTTTATCCAATTCGTCTCCTTGATAAATATTGGGAACGTCACCGGAGCTCAACATGTTATTGATATCTTCTAAAAACGATTCGGACTTAATCTGTAAAAAGTGATTAGGATAAAGTGTGGAATGACAAAGTGGAGATTACTAACAGAAATTTTGGTGTGGTATTGGAATATTGTCAGGATATAAGCAACTAGAACTGAAAACGAGTGTCACAGAGATAGTAATGTGAAAGCGATTGTGTAGGGTAACTAGGACGAGTATACTAAAAGCATAAGAACATATTTTTGTAGCAGAGAAGACGAAAAAGGATTAATAAAGGTGATTAGACATGTTATTGAGAATTATGGGAAAGGGGCATGTAATGAATGAATGACAATTGTGAGGAAACCCATTTGACAAAAATATTTTATAACCTCGTATACAAGCTTATGTTTTGGAAGTGCTTTGTCCAAAATTAGTAGACAATGCTAATTAATATAATATAAGAAGCAAGTTTATTGGGTGTAACACTTATAGATAAAATGTATACTAGCCTTGAATGTGTGTTATAAATCTATTTAAAACACTCACTTGCGTGTCGCTAAACAAAAATACACTTTCTACTCTGTATAATCCGGCTCTGAGCATTAATATCTTTATGTCATCTCTAAACTCGATATTTCCGTAGGTTTTCGTTAGCTGTATTTGAAAGATGTGAAGTTTTGCAATAAACGTAGCAAGTTTCGTTAAACTTTGACGGCCTGTACCGTTGATGATGTTTTAACATTAATGCATTTTACTATAATATTTTAATTTACTATCGAAATTTATCTTCTTACCTGAACCGCCCATTCCTAATAACAGTGCGTTACCGTGCTGTTGTCTAATTATGCGAGATACTCTACAAATATGAGCCACGGCGTCCACGAAAAGAACTAAATTGAGTATCGACGTAGTTTGGAAATTGTATTCTTCTAATTGGCTATGGATCACATTTAAAAGCTGAAATAAAATAGAAGCAGGAAATAGGAAGAAGCAATAGTGTAGGAAATAAGACTAAATGATAATGAGATCAAAATGTTTGTAAATATTCGTTAATATTTTTGTTAGAAATTTTACCTCTGTAAAATTCGTGACTCTTTGGTACGATTTAATTCCTAAGGACTGGTCCATAAAATCACAAAATATTATTTGATCAGTGACCAGTGACACAAAATCGTTTCCAAATTTATCAGTGATTTTGTTGTGCAGCAACTTGACAAACCAATTTCTGTCTTCGTCGTTGATCAACCTATCTTGATACACACGACAATTTTCATGGTACCAAAGCCTTATCAATTCTTCTCGAGTCTAAAAGTAGTATTAGTAAGTTGCATAAACAGTTAATGCAAGCGGAAATCATCGAGATTCATTATCGAAACTCACGGCAATCACGTCAGGATTCGACATCAAGATCCCTTGGAATACTTTGCTTAAGTCTCTTAAGTTAAACGTGTAATGGGTTTTTGCCGGTGTTGGTAACAAGTCGGATGAAATTGTTTTATAAACGTCCAATGACATTTGAAGGATTGGCTTCCATAATGTGTTTAAATTGTCGTTTCTTTTCGTCCACGATTGTATAATTTGACCAAAAATGTTCGACTAATAATCATAAAACTAAATATAATCAAATGTAAACGTGATCAACTAAAATCATCTACGCTCTCACTTGACTGCTTTCTTCCATTTCCGTAAAGGCTAAATAATGGAAATGCCTTAGAAGTCTTGGTGTTATGTTATTACGGCCTCCTCCGGGCGGCCCCATGGCTGCGATGAAGTTCACATCAATTATTGTTTTCCACTCGCCAATATTTCTTCTGTCATACCACCCTGAAAATAGTTCAAGTTAGTACTGGACGCGGTAGTTTGATATACGCTAATAATTATAACTTGGAAGTAATCGCTCACCACCAAAGTCCATCCACTGTCTAATGAGCTCGATGGGCGGTTGAGCTCCGTACGTTTCGAGTGCTGGCATATTAAAGTCATCTATGAATAGTATAAGTCTTTTTAATATCGGAGGTCCAAACACCCCTTTTTTTCGTCTGTCGAGCTTTGAATCAATGACGTCTTGAGTTTGATTGGCTGACGTGCGTGCAGAAAAATTCAAAAAGTCCGCCAGATATTTTTTGGGCATGTTTCGCGAGAGCTTAGACATGATGGTCAGTGTTTTGCCTGTACCAGTAGGACCAATGTTCAAGACGTTATGGTCAGTTGTCAATAGCATTTCTATTATAAATGATGATCGAACGTTGTCTATTGTCGGTATTTCGATTTCTATTGGAATTAAAATAATATATTTTTAGTGTTCGTTATTGATCAAAGGCTACTTTACCCGAATAAGTGGTTTCTTCGGTGAATTCAAATTTTTCGACATTAGTCATCCAGTTAATCCATTTCGGAGCAGATGGTTCTCCGTCATCGGTCGGCATCGTGAATCCACCGTCGTGTAATCTTGAATAAATAAAAACACACACGCATGTTGAAAATAAATAGAGAATACCTACGAGGTACGTCTTAAAAAAACTCGAGCGACAAACTTATAATCGTGTACCACTCCTTCGTTGGGGAATTTATACGGATGTTCGCCGGCAATCATCCGTTTCCTTAGCCAACTGGAAAAGACCAAACGAGATTTTTGATCACATGTGGCTCCTATACTCCAAATGACAGCAAAAACTACCCAGCACGGTAATAAATTTGGCATCAACGCCAAAATCGGTGCTGGAGGCACTGGTTTGCCGTCAGCGTTGGATACGGGTCTCAACATGATAGTAATCATGTTCAAACATGACATAAGCAACGCCGATTGAACGGATGTAATTATCTCTCTGAGCTTCTGACGGTTGAGTTCTATCGCAGGGATCACGTAGAAGTCTATTAGCTTTAGAATATCGTCTTTTAGATGTAATGCCGGCTGAAAATACGATAGCATATTGTTAGGAAAAAAAAAAAATAAAATAAAAAATCGTCGTACATACTTTTGGCAACTTTTTTATCCAACAGTTTATAAATGGATTTAGCCCTAACACGGCCGGCTCCAAGTAAACCATTCCACATCGAGAAACCGTGGCCGGACTAGCGACTGCCAGATCTTCGACTTCAAATGCCATCAGCTGATTGTCAGTGACTTTCATTATTTCTCCGCTGCTCAGACATAATTTTTTGTTGTCGTCCAACACGGAGTTCATGTTTTCAATCCATACCGCATCGACGGGCCCATCGAACACGTACCAACGCTTGTCCGAGTCTTCCGCTGAAATGCCTAGGCGAACCAGAAACGATAGAATACCATCAGTCCTGACAACAAAATCAATATTATCGAACATTAGTCATCACACCGAAGATTTTGCATTAAGAATTTCAAAAAAATTTACCACTCGTGGGTGAGCATGTCGAATTCTCCGTACAGTTGGCCCATTGTAATTGATTTTGGATTAAGTACAAACGTATGTACGGTCACGTACAAAGCTCCACTTGGCGAAGGTGTTCCTTTAAGACTAGTCAATGCTTCCTTTAATATCTCGTAACACTAAATAAGTAAACGAAACGAACTAATATCAGTTTGATGAAGATGTAGAGAACAATTGGATGGCATTTATCAGAAGTGAACCAGTAGACATGCAACAACCAAATTAATTGAAGTCAAAGTTGAATCATTATTGTAAATCTAAATGTAGCTACTGTATTTCTACAGATTCAATTTTGACTTCAATTTACTTAGTTCAAATTGCAGTTGTAAACTTGTACACTTCTGATACATGTCGTCTAAATTTAATGAAGAAGGTACCAAAAAAAAAAAAAAAATACTAATACTGATTTTTAAAGAGACCTTTGTTTTTCCCGATCCAGTTGGCCCGATCAACATTAACCCGTGCCTTACTACTGTCGTTTCGTACAGTTGGATTACTTTTCTTACATAATCTACAACACCGTTTGTTCGCAGTATTAACATATGATGTAAACTCGTTACAGTTAATAATTATCGACGGGAAAGATTTTACTCACCGTCGACATCTTCAAGTCCGAAACTCAAAATAACATTTCTAATAGATTTTTCTAAAGATCCGTAGTCGATACCTTGTTGTGTCATTTGTGGAAATAGATCAGACGCAATACCTTAAACGAAAGAGAAAAAATATATTTATTTTCAGTCAAGTGAACTTTCAATATTATACCATACGGTACCGTTGAACAACTTAAGATCGTCTTTCAAAAATTTCGGTACGTTTACATCTCTCAAAGCTCTGAGAACGATTTGCTGCTCGTTCATGTCGGGGTTAACTCTTTTTAAATTTCCAGCAACGATTATCACCGTTTTCACAGCACGCATACCAAAGTCGTAATGATCCTGTACCGTACAATTTAATTAAACTAACAGGTACATTTTATGTGTTCGTCGTCACTCACTTGACTGCTGAGTTGTTCAGAGCTGAGCTTAAACGTTGTTGTGATTTTACCGCCTAATTGTTTGGCGTCGTTGAATCCATACGAAAACAGGTATATTTCAGCGATCAACGTATAATCCGGTACCATCATCGCGACAGGACGAAACAGTGCCTTCAGGTTATCGGGCAGTTCAGTTCTTCCTGCATATCCTGGATTCATTGTTATGAACACGGAACACGATTGTCTTAGCGAAATCTCCACTCCTTCAAACATGAATCTACAAAAAAATATAATCAAATAGACGTTTTATTCTTAGGGCAGAAGTTTTTTCAACAACAACAAACCTTTCCAATCTGCCCATTAACGCTTTTTGAATAGTCATTACTTGTTGCGCAATGACGGAAAGTACTTCGATATCTATCCGGTTGAATTCATCAAAACAAGCCCACGCTCCAGAACTAACAACGATAGGTTAAATTAGGTAAATTTGTATGCATAGCAGGATGGAAATTTTACCTTGCCAATCCTTTGAAAAATTTACCCATCGCCCTGAAATCCAACTGATCTGAACAATTAAACACGACGCATTGAATCGCCAACGCTTTAGCTAAATCCTATAAATCGAAGAAAAAAATGAATTCAGAACTCAAAAACGTAGCTTTCACAAATGAAACATTTTTCCAATATTCATTCGTTAAAGATGAACTTAACTATTTATCTATGACTGAGTTAACTATTCACTTTTGATTAATCATAAAAATGCACCTAATGAGTAACGGGAACAATAAAAATCCTAAGTCAATCCAATGCCCTACTTTTTCTCATGTACAATGTAACTTATAAAAAGCCTTATTTACATAAAGATAAATAGATTTAAGTGGATCCACTATATTTTTCCAAAATAATAAGCCTAAAGTCAAGTAAAGTTATAGGCTTTTAAGTTTGTATTTTGCTAAAACGTTGAATTTTCAATTACTAATTATTTTATTTAAAACTAAAAGTGAAATTTTCAATCGTTAATAATTATGAATCTTTCTGTTCACAATTAAAAAAAATTATCGATGATTAATAAAAATAAACTTTTACAAATACTAAAATCGTCTATCCTTAATTAAGCTCTTTACTTTCACTTAATGAAATATTGGCTGAATAAATAACTAATAATATACTTTGGTCGTTTCCGTTTTTCCTGTACCAGCTGGTCCTGCAGGAGCGCCTCCAAATTTTAAATGTAACGCTCCGGTTAATGTAAGATAACAGCGATCAGTCAATGGTGTTATAACCAAACGATCAGAATTTCCTAGGTATTCAAATCCATACGGAAACTGAGCGTTGACGGCTCTGACCACTTCTCCTATATCACTCAGCCAGTAGTATCTATGCCAATTCTTTGTGTTAATACTAGTGGCTAACAAAGTATATTCCATAAAATTAACACAATAAATTACAAGTAATTACCTCAATTGACTAATCCAGTCAAAATCATTGACATTTTTAATTTTTAGCGTTACCAAGTTCGACAGCACGTCTCTTGCGTGAACTTCGATAACTATCAGAGCGGACAAAACTTGACGTTCTAAGGGTTTTAGTGGACTGACGACTAATGTTCTTAATCCGGTCAACTATGTAAAAACGATTAAAACAATTAAAAACAAATTTTAGTACACGGAAACTTAATAAGTACAATCGTACTTGAGACAACATGATTTCGTAGTAATTTTTCAAGGTATTCGTCATGATGCCGTGCTCGACGTGTGCAGTCCAAGAAGTCTGTGATACACCTATTACTACTTGACCTGGCCATTCGAAAACCCATTTATTTCTAGGCGTAATTTCCACTTTGGCCAAAGATCCTCTGAACGATTCTTTCAGAGTTGCTCGCATTGTGTTCTCGACTTCTAACAACCAATATTCGACGGTACCTCTCGGGTAAATGGCTGGATTTAATTTAACTCGTTCTCCTTCTCCGGAATACATGGCTATGATTTTTAGATCTGCTTCGAAGTCAAGCTATAAATAATCGAAAACCTGTTTATGTAAGTATTAATAATTTCAATATGGAAATATCCAAGTACTTACCTTGAAAATACTTTCGAAACATTTTTTTAAAAACGGTTGGACTGCTAGCGGGTTTTTGGCGTGAGACAGTATTTCTAATAGTTCATCGTCGCTGAGAAAATAAAATCTCGGAAAAACAGATCTTTTCGTTTCCAAATAATCTGCAAGTCCTTTCTGGACTATGTTCAGCTGGATGTTGCCGTCGACCAAAATGTCGAGCAATCTTCTATCCGGACATATAGTCATCAGCTAAAATATTTAATAAAAATTATAAATTAAAAATCATAATACCTTCTCAGCTCCGTGTTGAAGCTAAAAAACAAAAAAAATCATTGTACATACTAATAATGCAAGTCCGAGTTTGTTTAGAATTGTATATGTATTTAAAAAGTTATAAATGATTCCGACCAAACCAATTATTATTTTTAGAGTTTACTAAAATCATTTTATAAACATATCAGGTTAAGTTAGGTTAGATTTAATTAAGTATGTATTGAAATTGGTTTGGTAGGCACCTTAGAAAATGGCTTTGCCATTTATTCACTATTTGCATAAAATTGGGCTCTTCCCGTTCCTTTTAATTATGTTTGTCAAAAAAGTAATTAACATACGAAAGCTCTCTCCATTGCCGATTTTATGATTCGTTTCCAAGTCCGTTCAAATCGGCTAAATTTTTTTTCTTCCACTGGTAACTGTTCTTTGATATCCGGACTAATAAATATTGGTTGCAAGTACATCCATTGCCTGTGGACAAATACGTCTCGGTAAGTAAAAATTCGGTATTACTTATCGAATTATTCATTAACTAAATGTTACAATACTTTTGGCATTCGCTCCAAGCTTCGATGACTTCCCTAGACAGTCGTAAATCCTCTTCCCATTTATTCAGCTCCTCTTCAAACACTCCTTTGAACGGACTAAACGATAACTGTTGGGTAAGCAGTATATGGTCGTCGAGCATTTGTAGTTCTTCGTCGGATATTTTTATGATGTGCGTGCCCGTATCTTTGTACAATTGCATCTGTAACTTAACGTGTTCCCATTCTTTTTTCATTTTTTCCAAAGCTCCTTCGATGGTGAACTCCTTTGAAGCGTTGTCGGAAATCTGCTTTAACTCTTCACTGAACTCTCCAACCCCCAAGGTCCAACATTTGTCGAAATTCAATAATGGAGACATTGAAATTTCGACTCCTATCAATCATAACGTTAGAAAAACACCTACAAGTTTATATACTGTTACGGTTAGACACCAACCGGTTTGTTGGGCAAACGCGTCCCAGTGCCTTTGTTTCATTCCGGGGTTTAACACGTCTTTTAATAATTGCACTTTTGGTTTGAAATCTTCAATTTTTTCTTTAATTTCATTAGCAACGCTCAGGGCGCCTAAAAAATGATAGACCGTCGCTTTTAGAAGTAAAAACTATACAAGGTGAATAATATCTTGTATCTCTTGGCGCACCTGGAATTTCAGCAAACAGTTTTGTGCATTTAGTTATAACCTTTAGGAAATCGCTCCACATAGGTTCTATACTATCACCGACGATATTCGATAAAGGATTTTGTGTCCACGCAGTTTGCATTTTAAGAAAATCTGCTGCGTTTATCCATAAATCTCGATACGGTTCGAATTCTTTGACCAATTTTCTAACGTTGTCGAATGGTGTAACCTGTAAAGAAACACACATTGGTTTAATCGACTTAAGTTGACTAAAAAAATTTGAAAAATAAGACGTATTTGAATCCGAAAAAAAATAAAACTTATGTAATTTGGTTCGTTCAAAATTGTCTTGTACAGTGTAATAATTAGTCAAGAACTGTTTCGTTTCGATAGTATACATTTAACATATACGGACAAGCACAATACGGTCAAAGCGAATACTCACTTGATGACCGAAAAGTCTCTGCCTCTGGTTTAGAGTTTGACCAAACTTTTGAAGTTCTTTGATCATACTCCAATTTTTGGCAACGTCCACGGCGACCTCGAAAACTCTCGACAAGCTGTCCTCGAGCGTCAGTTTTAGTATATTGCCGGTGATGTACTCCACTTTATTTTGTAATGTCAGCTCGTCTTCGAATTGTATTTTTTCGAATTTCTCAGTTTCTAGAGCTAAGTTTTGTAGGGTCTCCTCGATCTTGGCTTCGAGATTGTATGGAAAAATTATAGCTTCCCATTTGATGTCGGATTGTTCTTTGTCTAGAACCCACCAAAACGCATCTAATATTTCAATTTCCTAAGATGCAATAAGTCTTTTGAGTACAACGAAACGCTAACTGAAGGTACTGGCTCAGTCTTAACCGAACTCTTGTAGTAATTACCATCACTAATCGTTGCACAATGTCGGATTGGGTTTTCACCAAAAACGGTATCGTCTCGATCCATTCTTTTATTTCGAATACTTGTTCGATGGATACTGGATTGTCGCCAAGCCTTAGAAATATGCCTTTATACTCTTCGCTGCATATTTCCAATTTTTCCGTCGTCATAGCGGCGTACTTTTTCATTATCGAGTTAGCCAATTGTCTACATTTATCCATCAATATTTGTTTTAACGACTCGACATTTATAAAAAACGGACCTATAGCTATATTCGATGGAAGTACTTTCTTGATATTTGCTTTCATCTTCAAATGCATTTGTACCTCCTCTTTCACTTGACTGGGAAACGGACTACCGTCGAAAAATTTCCTATAACGTTTCGCAAGCTATTATTTCAAACAAAAAGCCAATAAAATTTGTTGGGGTCATAGTGGCGGATGTCAGGCCTACAGTGGTTGTTATAACTTAAAGTGACAAAATCACTTTCAAATAAACGCATTTATTTAATGATTATTTGTTTTAAGTTGAAAATATGTAATATTTTTTGGCATTTCTTGTTTATCTTATGCAAATAATCTATTGTTTTATAGACTTGTTACATAAAGGAAACAAGTAAATAATTACTGTAAAAACAATGCCTTATCAGCTAGGCATCAAAGCTAAACCTACTACTCGTAAAACAGTGTAACATGTGATCTAAAATATGGTGTTTTTATTTTTACTTACTGAACATACGAATCGACGTTGGTGTTGAATAATGGCAAGTAAACGGAGAATTCTTTACAATACGCTTTTAACGGAATTATAGCCGAACGTATACACGTTTCAATTTTTTTCTGTTGTTTTGCAATTTCTTTTTCCAGCAGACCAATTGACGTTAAATTGGGTTTGTTGAAGAACGTTATTTTAGGCAGCAAAATTGGGTAAAACAACGGCACGTTGTGACTTTGGATTATTCCGGTTCTGAACATATTTACAACGATTGGCTGTAAATTCAAATTCAAATCACATAATTATGTACAAACACGAAGTTCTATTTGGAAAATACATACCTCAAATCTGTCCGGATCGGTCGAATAGAACGGTTCGTTCTCGTTCATGTTTATTAACAGATAAAATATCGGATCACCTTTCCAATCGAACGGCGAGTTAATTAAATCGCTTCCCCAGATGAAATCATCGCTTATCCCTTTAATTTTTACACACGGTTGTTCGATTAAACGTGCATAACTCGTGGCCGATTTCAACACGATTTCCCGCAAGTAGCTCTGGAAACGATCAGTACAACAGGAGTAAATAAAATTGAGAAATGTTTGTATTTAAGATCAGTTGTGCAACGGAATGGAGTTGTGTAGGAATCGAAGAACATAAGTGGACATATAGGAGAATGTGTCAATAGAAGAGTTCACCTCTTAGGTGACCAATATGTACCATGTTTAGAGTGAGAGGTGTAGTTCGGCCATCGGTGAAGTATGGAAGTGAAATGGAATAAAATCGATGAAAAAGAAATTTAAGTGATGGAAAAATTAAATGAGAATAACATTGAGATTGTTTAGTAATGTCAAAAGAAGGAGAAGTAGATTTATCGAAGAGGAAATAAATTGACTAAAAAATAGCTGTATAAAGTGATAAAAGTAAATATTGAAAGATTGGAAATTCAGAAAATAAAATGTATATAAGACCAGTTAGGAAGCAGAGTAGGTAATTAAATTATAAACAGATAATGATTGAAATAATAATAACAATCAAAGCTCTGGTTAGTTTCTTATAATAATAGATCTGTTTTTAATAGGTAAAAAGGCTGTAAGACTTTCATCGAAAAAGCAATACAGCATATTCTAAGTTTTATAATTTTACAATTGTGTATTAATGCACATAATTATGTAAACAACACTAATATTTCAAAAATAATAACTTGAGAAAAATCAAGCTTTTTACCACTTACCGTGAACATTTTATCGTAAATTACATACTTGCATTAGAAATTGAAGCAGTCTCATTAATTTTTTCAGTTTCGAACCATTGTAAACGTCGAAACTCGTTTGAGAAATATCAAACCATCCGCTTTTGACATCGGAAAAAGCAAAACTACATTTGCTGACAACTCCTCTTACCCAAAAATCCTTTAGCCAATTGATAGTCTACATGTAAGAAAACACCATCAACAACGATATTTGGTTAATTTTTGTATTTTAAACAAACTGTTTGCTTATAATCTGTCAAATGAATCGAGGTGGAAATCAAGAGCTCAAAATATTTTTCCATATAATGACAATTTTCAAATTAATATTTAAGTATCTTATACGATGTTTAAACATTTTTTGTTGCGTTTTTATAATAATTTTGGATAATACCTCTACAAAATACGTCGACTGTAATTCTTCGAACTCCTTAAGCGTTACTACTTTCGAAAATTTCGTCATAAAAAACCGTTTATGTTTCATTAGCAAACATTCTAAATTAGATAGCCATTCTGCCAAAAAGACTTCTGGTAAAACCAACAAGGTCTCTCTGAAGAACTGTACGCTTGTTTCCGTATAAGTGTGCATCACTTTATTTGTTCGTGCTGTGAAATTTGGTAAATTTAAAAAACATAATGACCTATAATATGGTCTCAACAGCATAATTTTAACTCACGTCTCGAAATTTCAATATGTATTTCTATTCATCAATTTTAATGTTAATTAAAATACAGGGTGATCACGAAAACACTTTAAATTTTCAAAAAGGCGAAATAATATAAATTTTTCAAAAAACATTTTTTTTAACTTATGTAGAATGTTTGTGGGTGTATGCCATTTACTTTAAGTAGTAAAAATGAGTCCAGGAAGATGATGTCCGTCTTCCATGAGGCAATTTTCAATTCTTTCAAGAAAGTTCTTCCACACTCGTTCTAGTGTCTCCCTCGTGATTAGTGCCACCTCTGTACGAATTGCCGCTTTCAAATCATCCAAAGAAAATTGCCGTACACTTGTGGATTACATCCACAAACATAATATCAAGTTAAAAACATTTTTTTTTCGAAAATTGCCGTAAAATAAATGGCATACACCAACAACTATATTACATAAATAAAAAAAAAAATGTTTTGAAAAATTAATATTATTTTGCCTTTTTGAAAATGTAAAGTGTTTTCGTAGTCACCCTTTATGTGCACCTAATTGGAAAATGTACCTCATAATTTTGTGTATTATGCAAAACTTTATACTTGTAACAGCTATTGATAATATAATTGATCATTGTTTTATTACAAAGATACAAGGGTTTTAGTATTTATTACCTAGTTTTTTATTTATGCATCCATTATCAAAACAGGGTAGTTCTATGTGATGATCTTGTTCGGCGCTTTTTATAAACTTATTTTGGACCATAATCGAACTCTGCGATCGCCTATAGCAATCCATGATATCTTCAGTTACCTTTCAAACGTTAATTTTTTTTAAGTTTATACATTACAAATTGATTTTAAATCATCATCCACCACTTACTATACGCTGCATCTTAAAGCTTATTGGCAATTTCTTATTAGAAAAAACTTTTTTTATAATATTCATTAATTGTTTCTCTGGTACCTCGTCAAGGTGGTCTACGTTCATTTTATCAACATACATATACCATCTAGTTGAAAAAAAAAATGTTAATGTTTTGGTTTTTAGAGGTAAGTAACTGGCTACAGTGTTGGGTATAACTCAACGAAAAACAATTTTTAAACAAATCTAACAAAATACATTTTATTTTAAATACAATATTTTATTCGGTAATATTTTCAAAATATAATTGCAATATAAAATACCTTATTACCTTAAATTCCCTAATAGGTGTTTTAAATATTATCATAGCAGTAAAGAGTAATTTATTATAATTAGGTTTTAAATATCTAACAAAGTAACATTTTACGAATAAAAATTAAACACACAAATTAACAATTTATTAATTAATTTTTTATATTTTTTATTAATAAAAAATTATTGAATGCCATCTAAATCTAGTTATTACATTCCACCTACTAAACTTACTCACAAGTGACTTGACCAGTGATCAGGTGGTGGAAGTAGCATTATATATTTCCAGAGTAAGTTGCACTTAATCCGTTGATGTTGATTAGTTAAAATGTTTTAAAAATAAAGCTAACACGCGTAATCTATTTTCAAAACCCAAAGTTCGTAATAAAAAACATAAAAAAACAAAATAATTTGTTGTAGTACTTATTATTTTGATAAATTATTTTTCAACATTAATAAGAACTATTTCATTGTTGTTAAAAATTAGATTAATAAACTTCTGTCTAGCAAAATAGCTCATATTGACTATTTAGGGACTTACATAAATATTCATCTTTTGTAAACAGTATTTTTTTTTTTAATAATTGGATACTTAAACAAAGTGCAGTCAAATACTAATTTAAGTTCACTTAGAGTCAACGAAATGTTTTCGAATAAACAAACAACATTGAAAATTGTGCTGGTCTAAGCTGGACGTTACAACAAAGATGATATGGGATTAGGTACTGATAATATGTATCCAATTATAGATTACTGATAAGGGAAAGCTTTTTGGAACAGTATCTACTATCAGTTAATTTCGCTCATCTCCCTATGATTATCTCTTATCAGCTCTCAAACCTGTACTTGTTGGAAAAGTTTCGTTTCTCTGTGTGACACACTCGATTTCTTCGAACAATGAATATCAGTAAATTTGTATTTAAACGAAAATTTACCGGAATGCCCAACTCTGTGCGTAAGTCACATGTGGATGTAAGTATTATATTTGTTTAGGGCACACTCACATCAAACATTTTTCACGACATTCGCGTCTAGCGATTGCGTTCTTTATTCTCTCCACGAGCACCCTCGGGTCTTCGCCTTTGAAGTAAACGTGGATTCTCGGGACGTTCGTGATCACGTTGTCGGTCTCGTGTGGCAACATCACCGAGTATGTCCTCGACGCGGGATCATAGGCAATGGCGTTGGCGTTGACCCACGCGTAACATCCGGGACCACCACTTTTGTCGGATTTGCCGGGCAAATAAACGTCACAAGGCACCGGCCATTGGATCCCGTTGGAATAGGCTAATTTTATCCATTCGTCCGAGTTGCGCACGTCGAACTCGGTGTTGTCGTGGTACCACAACGGCGTCAGTTTTCCGCTCTTCATGGTTTTTAATTTGAAATATCCATCACGATCGACGTCGGTGAACACCAATTGATCGGCCGTCACGCCGGCGTTTTGCAACAAATTCGGCAACGAAAACGAAGAGTACAACTTTTTCAACCGTTCCGCATAGATGGTTTTCGGCAGCGTACCCGGTAGCGTTTCGCTGGGCATTTGCACTTTAGGGTTGAATATAGATTTGGAAATCGGCTGCACCAACTACGTTCACAAAGCCAAAGTACGAATCAATTGAGTGTAGCAAACCGGTTTAAAAAAAGCTAATTTTAAATTAGTCGGTAAACCTAATTCAGTATCGGAATCCGCAGTCGGTTGGGCGGTTATTAAAATACATATTTTGTTTGTAAGAATGTTTAGCATGTTTAAAAAGGACAGAGGGATGTCGGAGTACGATAGGATAAGAGTAGTCATTAGCAAAGTCTAGTTGGAAACTTGAAAAAAGTGGTAAAAACTTTTAGGCTTGATTATTTTTTACTATACATTGTATTTTTGTGTGTATATAGTTGTAACATAAGCTAACAAAGAATATTCTATTGACAAATCAGAGAGGACTTTTTGTTAGAAAAAGGGATCAGCTGATAAGACAAAAAAGAGATTAGAGACAATTCAAATGGATATTGATATTATGACTCATATTGTTTGACTATTTTTTTTTTATGTATACGAAATTTAAAACAACTTAAATCGATTTTAAAATTATTAATGCATAACTCTTCGAGGAGGTAACTACAGTTTTATCAAATTTTTAAAAAACTTGATAATTATTTTCTACTTGAGTTTTTGAAAAAGCAAGGGACCGTTTTTTTAGAAATTCTTTATTAAAATAGTGAGACTTGCAAAAAATAAAGTATCCGTAATTTAGCATGAAATTAAGTTATGTAAAACAAAAAAATGCCTTTTCTAAACGAGTGTTATATTCTGACTGGAATTTACTAGGTATTATTTATATTTGTATTAACATGTGTTAATAAAAAATATTTATTAACATTTATAAATTATTTTGTATTTAGCCAAAAAACACAAGGTATATTGTTTTCATTCGTGGTATCAGATACACAACTTAAAACAAAAAAACTATTCGAAAAATCAAAATCACCCGAAATTAGTAAACAGTGTTTTTATTGTAAAATAAACAACAAATGATTAGCCAAAACAGCTTTAGTTAATTTTTTCTATAATTATTATTTAAATAAATAAATGTATTTTATGATTGTAACATTTAGTTCATGGTTTAAGTGTTATACATTTTTCATTTTACTTTAAACGACACTTTTTACTAACAATAACATTGTTATTTGCAATTGTCAAATCACGTATCATATAAGAGTATATAGCTACTTATAAAAGACAAGCTTACATCATCATGATCGAAACTGCAAAGTCCAGTTTTATCGGTTTGTCCAAAGACACTTTTTGGAGCTAAATTCGGCATTCTCGGTAACGCTCTGATAAGACTTGCATCGCAATTTCCTAAACAAATGTTCCTTTAATGTTTATTTTATAACAAAAAAAATGAAGAAGTAATAATTACGGTCACCAAAAAATCTTACCTATCCTGTGAGACGATAATCGATTTTCAATATAACTATTAGTTTTAATTAATTTGTTACCGTAGTAGCCTTTTAAAGCACAATTTGGTGTTTCGTCACTTTTATCACTCATTTTCGATTAACTGCAACCAAAAATTCGATTTTTTTCAACGAGTTTAAACAAAATTAATTCAATATATTATACCTTACTTTACACAAATTTTTAAGTGTAAACCCTTTATTGGCGATACGATATTTAAACAATAAACTACATATTTTACAGATGGCCAAAGGGAGGAACAAGTGAATCACACGAGGTATTTAAAAAGTGTAAGTTATATACAAAAAAAAAAAACCAACAAAAAAAATTGTTTTATAGTAAATGTAGTCAGGCAACCGCTATTCAAAACGATAGTGGCCAATGAAATAAAAAAAAAATCGATTAAATTCTGAACCTCCTCTTTCTTTATTTTTTTCAGCCTTCGAATGATATAAGTAGATATTAGTCTGCTAATATTATAGTGTTACTAATGTATTCTTGGCCACTCACACATTTGATAAAAACAATTATTACTGTTATAATAATTGTTATAAATTTTTCTTATCATGATATACTGTTATATATAGTAGGTATATATCATATTATACCTACTTATTGTAATAAAAGTGAATTTAAAACCTGATTTATTATGTTGTATAAATTAAAATGTAAATCACAACGAAGTCAATGTTGAACCCATTAAATCCAGGTTACAATTACAATTATTACGGCTTGTGGACTCTCCCTCCAATATCCAAATTATATTAATTTTGACAAAACATATTTTGGCAAAAACCTAGAAGGTAAATTTACAGAAGACGACCAGTATTGTTTATCTAACAATCAAATTACCTATCTTGAATGTTTGAAAATGCTAGTTTTTAACGTTTATCTGTTCAAAAAAATTAAACTTAAAATTAGACTAAAACGCGAAGTAACTTTCCGAGGTGTCTACCGAACTGATTTCAGCATTTTTTTATCGTTATATAGGTGAACATCTTTTCTATGGGAGCTAAAAAGCCGCTATAATTGAATTATATTATTTATGTTTATTTAAAGTCAAGTACCTACTCGTTTTAAATAACTATATTATAATATTTGACTTCCAACAGCGTCAAGTTTTATTGTGATTAAGTAAAATGGATTCATTTTTTAGATTGGAGTACTTACATCAAGATTAAATAATAAATTATAGCTACTTATTTATTACCAAATTAATTAATTCATTAGTTATTTTGTTTAGAATCACTTAATTTATTTGTTTTTCTCTAATCTATTAAGTTTAAACTTTTTAATTATTATGGTATATTGCTTATATGATGTGTTTTTTAATTATTATATATTATACCATAGTATCGTTATGTCTATGGGTATAGTATTATAGGTACCTATTTAATAGTTTAATATCAATGGTAAAAATATTAAATTATGTTAACAGTTTAAGGAGATACCAATATAACAGCAATTATAAAACTAATGACTCAATTTTAGGTTCTAATAACTGTATTTTTCTGTCATTTTATAATTAAGAATACATTAAAAATAATATTTGATGGTTATAAATAATGATTCTATAGTAAGCAAGATAACAATATTTAGAACTAACTTAACAGTGATATAAAATTTACATTTTCCAAAAGGTTCCAATAACTGTACACTTTACAAGTATTGTAACATAGAATTTATAAAATGTGCAATTCAAATTAAGAGTTTCAATTAATAAATATTTTAAATAAAAATATTTTTACAAATTTCAGACATTAAATACAATATAAAAAAAAACGAAATTTAATCACACTATAAATTTAATACTAAAATACAATTTCACAATCTATCCTTCTCTTCTGGTTAAGCCATCTCCCTGCAAACAAAGAAATTGTTTAAATAACAAAATGTATTACATGTACCTACATAATGATGATATTATAACTTACTTAAGTTTATAGTGGCTATCAAGTAGAGTATGAATTCGATATCGTATTACAATCTGCTTGTTATCGTGTCGACTCAATGCAAGCTTGGAGAGTCTGAATGAATTCGTCTTGCGATAGGCGTTGAAATTGGCAGCATCTTTAGAGTTCATTTCTTGAAATAAACAATCTTTATGATCCTCGATTGTCATATGGTATGCCACTTCCTTGGCCTTGTTATGCGTATCTACAATTTGTATATAGTCTTGAAATTTTACCCGAAGTCTTGTTTTATATTTGTCTTGACACACTGGTCTGATCTAAAACATTTAAATTATATATATATATATATATACATTTTTTTTAAATATTAATATATTATATAACTAACCAGTGAAAGTTCCTGGGCCTTTTTTCTTCGACCCTAATCACGGATAGTAGAGATGAAAATTAGGTAAATGCAATTTTTCAAGGAACCCTTGTATGGCGAACACGTCATTGTAGAAGTTTTCAGTTTCATAAGATACATCAGAGAATCTGAAAAAAAAATATATATATTAAATATAATTTTTTTATAAAATTAGATAATTACTGTAACGATATAATGAAAATTTTACAATGCGTTTTCAAAATTTCCGAAACTGAATATCTGACATAAATAAGCTTGTCAAATTTTAATTCATCATTATTCATACGAGCTGCATACGAGTGACATCTTCAATCGCTTCCTTTTATTTTTCTATAGTTTTACCTGTTGAAATAATAATTACATTATTAATTGTACAAATAGTATTATTTACTTACCAAAAACTGCATTAATCATCAACTTGAAATAATCCTTTTGAAAACATTCCTTTTATCCATATACCTTTATTTAAAAATCTACCCACTCTATTCCTCCCCTCACATTCCATTTCCACCCCTCTTATTATTTCCTTTCCCCTCTCATCCTTTTTTTTCTTCTCTCATTTCTTCCTCACTTTTCTTTTTCCCTTCCTCTCTATTTCTTGTCATCTCATCTCCTTTCCTTTTCCTCCCTTCTCCTCTCTTTTTCTCCCCTGCCCTCTCTTCACTTTTCCTTCACTCTTCTCTTGATGTCACAAATTCTGGTTTGGTTAAATTCAGCTAGGTTAGATTGGGTATTAGTTAGTTCAATGTCATGACACAAAATTTCGGCTGACCTCTAAGTTGCAATTGAGCAATTGAGGGGAGAAGTCATGGAAGCTGAAGGGGAGAGAAAAGTAACTATGAAAGTTGAAGAGGGGCTAGGGGAGGAGGAAGGAGGTTTATGCCAAAGGTTGTAAACTGTGTGATTAAACAAAAAATGTGGATAAAGAAGTAGTCAGACAAGTAGGCCGTTTGGAAGAATTCATATAGATTTTTTTCATTTTAGTAATCATATATTTTTATTAATTGTAGATGCTTACAGTAAGTTTATAGATGTTAAGAAGATGAAAGGTACAAGTTGTGTAAAAGTAATTAAGGCGTTACAAGAGAGTTTTGTGTATTTTGGTTTTGCAGAAGAAATTGTTTCAGACAATGGCCCACCATTTAATTTTTGGGAGTTTAAGAAATTTGGTTTAGAATCCAAAATTAAAATAACTAAGTCACCCCCTTTCATAGCCAATCTAATGGGCTGGCAGAAAGAGGAGTGCAAACAGTTAAAAAATATCTTATAAAATATTTATTAAATACAATAGTTTTAAAATAGAAGAAAACATTTTAAGATTTATTAGTAGTTACAATAATGTACCGTGACCGGTAACTTTAAAATTACCCTTTGAGATGTTATTTTCATATAAACCCAAAACCAGTACAAATTTATTGAATAAAAAAGTTTTGTATAGTGAGTAAATTATAAAAATAAAAAGGTTACATTTAAATTTAAAAAAAATATATATTACAAAGAACAACTATTTGTTACTTATAAAGAAGGGGAGAAATTAATGTATAGAGATCATTATTAAGAGTTTATTAAATGGTTTGGTTACCTGCAACAGTTGTAAAAAGGCTGAGTAAATTTATATATGTGATTAAAGTTTATAATGGGATGAGGAGAGTACATTGTAATCAAATTAGATTTCCAAATAAAAATCACTTCTACTATTTTTCTTGCTACTTCCACAATAGATTCAACAACATTTTTTGCAACATCTGTCTTGCTACTGTTATTGTCACCACAATAAATAACGGTTTCCTGAGGAATTCTATATTGTCGAAGTAGTTTAGCGGGAACGTTTACATTTGGCTTCGCTAATTATGCAAAACTCATGGGAACATGATCGTAAGTTATCCGAGTTTTCAAATTTGATTCATTATTATCGTTTTTGATTAAAAGTGATTAGAAATCTACTTAAATGGCAAATTCATGTTTTTGGAGTATTGCCCCAGTTCATAAATTTTAGATATGTTTTCGATTCTGGTAGAATGGGTATAATTGGTGAATTCAAAATACATTTTTTTGTGTGGTCTCTCAAACTTATCACTTTGTTTACTTATTTTGGTATATCTACATACACATAGAAGCAACGCTTGCAAATTGCCTTTTATTTGCATTTTCTAGACTTTAAAGATCCCACTAACCGCGACAATTGCTTAATAAAAAAATAGTGTGACTTCCCTTTTCCGTCATTAAAGTATAAAATATCGAAATGGTTTTCTTCTACTTTGTCACAAAATTTGTAAGGCATAATATATTCTTCTTTTTTATTTAAATTTTTGCCCGCACTTGTATTTGTATGTTTGTTTTTGTACGTCATTTGATCCTTAAAACCGGCAAATTGTATAGTCAGAGCGAATGAGCTTGATCTCCTAGGCTTTAGCATTTCGGAAGGGAAGGTAGAACCCAGTAAGAAAACCGAAACCATTGCTCATTTTCCGGTGTCGGAAAGACGTTCACGAGGTAAGACGATTCCTTGGTTTAGCGGGCTTCATCAGACGTTTTATTGTTCGGTATGCCAAAGAGGCAGTTGCACTCACCAAGTTAACCAAGAAGGAGGAACCATTCAAATGGGGTTCAGAGCAGCTGGAGGCATTCGACAGGTTGAAGTCGTTCCTGTGTGAAAAACCGGCGCTGAAAATGTTTAGCTCCACCGCTGATATAACTCAAGTCCACGCCAGGAATGCCACGTCAGGAATGCTACTTGAAGGTAAAAATGAGGAGTTGCATCTGGTTTACGCTGT